TCAGGAAGTGACATACTAGGGCTTCTGCATGTATCTTATTGACTTGAAGTGTGTCATTTGGTCCCCTAGCTGTCACAGCCTCTGCAGTTGAGACAGTTAACAAAGAAAGGGGTTTGAGGCTGTTTAGGCCAGCCAGCCTACAGCACCTTTCACGATCCTGCCTTTGTGTGGAAGAGCCAGCCTGGCCAGCCACACTGCAGCCACCAATAGTGAGGGCCCAGCATGGATCAGAGGCCCTACTTCCCCCTCCAACACGAGGCCTTATAAAATCTCCATCTACTGACCACTGTTTTTGAGAGAAAGTGGGAGGGAAACTTTAATTTGATCCTGGGACACAAAATGAATGAGTTCATCCCAAATGGGACTATTGACATCAGAAGAGACTGAAATATTATCAACAGGACAGATTAGAGTTTGCCTCCCTCTCACTCACTCCCTACTCGGTTCTTCACATTTTGTGACCCTCATGGGGGCCTGTGAAAAAGTTAAATGTAAAGCGCTACCTTTTCTTTGCACATCTGAATGTAGCATGGATGAATATGGGAGCCTGGGAGCCTTATAATATCAACAGTGGTGAATATATAAAGATAAGAAATCTGTATCTGCTGCCCATCCTGTGACTGTATGGTGTGGTATTTATATAACATCATGTCTTGAAGCACTTGGCAAAAGCAACAGTGTTTATTTACTTGGTACAAGAGTATAATTTTTTTGTGGCCCTAATGTGAATTCATAAGTGGCAATTGTTTCTGCTTGGAATCAAAACAAAAAATGTACTCCCCTTATTGTTATTTTGGATACATCTGTGATCCAGTTGCAACATCTGGAACCTGTTGAATCTAGTTCTTTTTACAAACCAAAAGAATTCTAATATTAATTTTGTTTTTTAAAGGGATGGATATTTACTTAAACTGAGGCTGTTTGATGTAAAATGTTCAGCGTGTTAGGGGAAAAACAGATTTGTCTAATTTGTGGCTTAAAACAAAAGCTTTTGTGATACTGGATTCTGGGGGAATTTTGTTTTTACTTGTCAGACTTTGCACAAATGCCCAATAAACATTTGAATGATCTGTTAACAAAGTAGCATTTCTTTTAAACAATGAGCAGAGATGTCAAGAAAACTCAAATGATTTTAAAACATGGCCAAGCAGTCTTTTGTTAATTTTTAAATCAAATAGGAATATTTTAAAGTTCTTTAAGGGAAAACTTGTAATTTAGTATCATATGCATTTAAAATTGTGTTTAACTTTCTTCTGAATTAGTATTATTCTATGTTAAAAAAAACCCAAATCCAAACTTTATACTACGCAATTAAAGCCAAAGTTGATGTCTCTAATGTTAAAGTTTACTTGTAAACATATCCTTAGACAAAAGAAGAAAATTAAGAAACATGTAATAAGTAGCCAATGTCATTAAATGCTAGAGGCAATATAAACCCAATGCAAATCCAAAGACTTGATATACTCCTTCCCCAGTTTCACACGTGCTGTCATCCAAACTTTCACATAACAAACTTTAGGCACTGAAATGGCTATGAGAGAGGAAAGTAAAGGTGGAATAGACAGCAAATTTCACAGAGAAGGGAAAACTTGGCAAGACCTTCAAGAATAGGTGGTTAAGAGGGAAAAAGCAGAGCTGGAAAAGCATTCCAAATGAAAGGAATACAGAGGCAGAATGAGAAGGAAATATTATTGGAAGACAGTCTGATTATTATTATGACTGTGTAAAGTCATATTTGTTAAAGGGTTCTAAGAGCCAAGCTGAAAGGGTTAAATTTAATATGATGAAATGGAACTAGGGAACCCTGGATGGTTCATGAGCTGATCATAACAGCAAAATACTGACATTAGTGTTTGATGGGGATTTAGGTGGCATGGATTTTAGTCATATAGCTTTCGGAATCATCAGGCACAGAATAAAGAGAACATGACCTGTTGTTATTGTTTTAACTAAGGGTATTTCCTATGGTCTAAAAAAAGTGGTGGGAATAGAAAGGAAGAGCTATTAGAGAATCAATTTAAAGAAAAACAAATGGAATTTGCTGACTAACCAGATATGGGAAATGACAAAAGAATGTTTTCCTCAACTTTCTCTTTTCTTTGTTTGTTTGTTTTTTTTTAAATATGTATATTCTCGTCTTTTCTTTCTTCATTCTGTGATTTTCTTTCAAATTTGTGTTCTATTCTGTCTTTTCACTTCCTTTTCCTTGTCCAGGTTGGCTGAAACACTAGCTGCAGCTATACAAAACAAAGTGTTTGCCAAAAGGGAACTAGAGACAGATTTCCCCCAGGTCAATTCCACATAAGACAAAAGAAAAAAATGCTTAGGGGGAAAAGGAAATATCTTAGCTTTTCCTTCCAGAGTAATCAAAGATTAATTTATGTTTGTGTTAATCAAATTGTTTTCAGAGATTTTCCTGCTAAGCTCTAAATACTGGCCTTACAAATGTTGTATTTATTCGCCTGTCTCGCCCCTTTTCTCTACAGCTATTCTCACTCTAAATTGTGGGGGCTATGGACAAGATCAGAACTTCAAAAGTTTTTGGACTTCAGCACATTGTTGTCCTCAGCAGATTTCTCTGAGCTTCCTTACTCTGCCTAAAAAAACAGAAAAGTCTTTAGAAATCACACCTCCTGATATTTTTCCATCTCTTTGGCAATTCCTAAAAAAAAAAAAAAAAAAAAAATGTTCTTTGAAAATGAAGGACTGACTGATTTAAATAAGAGCTCTTCTCTCATTTGTTAGGAGGATGTCCAGGGAAAGAGTTGATGTTCATAGGCATTGAAAGGTACAACAGTTGGTGTTTACACCAGGGATTTCCTTTCCTCTCTTTTGTGGCTTACCTCTCTTCAGTTTAGGGAAAGAAATTCTAAGAAATGAATGTAACTCTGGTTCATAACACTGGACTGGAATTTCCAGAAGGTTCCAATATTGCTTTTCCCTTTGCCCGAGGACCTGAGGAGGGGGAAAAAAGGAATAAGCCAGATTCCCACAAAACACTATAAAAAAGATAAACAATCTCAAAGAAAAATGGCTAAAGGCTATAAACAGGGCATTCCCAAAAGAGGAATCTGAACAGCCAAAAAACAATAGAAAGAGGCTCAACTCTATGAGCAATCAGGGAAATGAAAAGTAAAACAAAAATCAGATGCCATATCTTACCCATCAAGTTTGCAAATTAAAGTCTGATAATATCAATATTGGCAAATGAATAGACAAAAGGGACTCTCACTCACAGCTATAAATTAGTGTGTATTGGCACAGCACTTTAAAGGGCAGTTTTATGCTATCTATTAAAACTTGAATTATGCATATCTCATGACCCAGCCCTCATACTTCTTGATGTTCACTGCAGAAAAATACTCACATGGTTCCAATTAGACGAGTTGATTGTATATTATTTGCAACAATAAAAAAAAAAGTAAAGAAAACCTAAATGTCCATTGACCAGGGAATGGCTAAATAACTATGATATATCCATGTTATGTAAAATTATGCCACAGTTAAAAGGAATTAGGTAGATCAATATACTGACATTAGAAGTCTCTGAGTCATATTGTTAAAGGAAAAATATCAAGTTGCAAGATGCATACAGTATAATAATGTTTGTATTAAAACAAAATACTATATATTCTAAATGTATGTGTACTCTATAAGTACAAATACACAGCATAAGTATATATCTTCTATAAGTACATTAAAAGGAGTACATATTTTCCGTCAGTACAAGTACTCTCTGTAAGTACAAATACTAAATATTTTAGACAGGGTGGGCAGGAAGTAGGTTAATAATAATAATATAATAATTAATTAATAATAATACAAGAAAAAACTGTTTTGTGTACTCACAACAGTGAACCTACTTTTGCCCAGCCCATATAAGTATACAAAAGGGAATGCCCAGAAAAAGTCTGAAAGGATTTACACCAAACTAACAACAGTGGGGAGGGATCTGAGACAGAGGAAAATCGGGGACTTAGACCTCATCTTTAATGCTTTTAATTTTTTTAAGGAAGGGAAACATATTCATGTATTCTCAAAAATGGATAAGGAAAAGAAAAAATGTAAACAAAGAAAGAAACTATGGAAATGAAGTTGAGAATCACTAAGGATGAGGACAGGAAGATGAATAAATTCTACCAGCTTTTTCTCCCTACTCCTCCACAAGTGTTAAACAGCTTTTGCTTTTCTGATTTGCAAAAGTCTGCTCAGTGAAGCCTCTTGACTCAGAAAAAGCCATTTCAAAAAGACTGAGAGGAATATATGTGTGAGTAGGGTGCCAGAAGTGAGGTCCAAGGCTGGAGATGATTAATATACTTATTAATGCAAATATGTCAGAAATTACTAAAAAACTTTTTAAAAATATATTTTATTGATTTTTTACAGAGAGGAAAGGAGAGGGGTATAGAGTTAGAAACATCGATGAGAGAGAAACATCGATCAGCTGCCTCCTGCACACCCCCTACTGGGGATGTGCCCGCAACCAAGGTACATACCCTTGACCGGAATCGAACCCGGGACCCTTCAGTCCACAGGCTGACACTCTATCCACTGAGCCAAACCGGTCAGGGCAGCCCTGAATTTTTAAGGTCCCACTTCTCTTTGTCCTGCCAAGGAAGAAGTGTAGCTGTGGCTTCCATAGGGCTAGAATCCAAGCCAGTGTCCAGAATTTCCAGTCCATATTCACACGCTCCAGTCCAGCACCAGGCTAGCTTAGTTTATGTTCCTAGTTATAATCCATCAATCCATTGCATGTGGGGTCTGTGGGGTCACAGTGGGAACATGGGCAAATCCAAGAAAGCAGGAACAAGAAAGTCCCATGAGCTCTGTTGTTTGGGGGACTAGGTATCCTCACATTTTCACGGGCTTGCATTGGCTCCACCTCTTCTAACCAAAGATTTTTGTTCCTAAGTTTGAAAAGGACCTTCCCTAAGTCACCCTAACTTTACTGTGCATGTACCCATCTTGTCTTTGTTGGACCCTTTCCCTGTGTTTTGCAGGGACTGGGCAGGTTATTCCCTGGGGAGTGCAAAGTTGCAGCCTCCAGGTAAGTTGCCCAAATGATATGCCTATAATGTCTGGCCTTGCCTTTGTTCCTTTCCTATCTATAATAATAAAAACGTAATATGCTAATTAGACCAGACGTCCTTCTGGATGTCCTTCCATACGACCTTCAGGAGGAAGCCTGGGCTGCGAGGGAAACCCAGGTCCCGGGTGCCAGAGGAAAGCCGGTGCTGGCAGCCTGGGGAAGGCCTACTCTTGCACAAATTTCGTGCATCGGGCCTCTAGTTATTAATAACTAGCTAATTACAACAGTATCAGTCCCACTATATTAGCCCTTTCTTCCTCTGTGTAGTTTGCTAATATAGCATAGTGGTTAAGAACTCGGACTCAGAAGCTTGACTAGGTTAAAACTGCCACTCTGCTACTTACCAATTGTGTAATCTTAGACAAGTTATTTGACCTCTCTGTGTCTCTGATCCCTTCTCTATAAAATGGGGATATTAATGGTACCTATTATTGTTACAGAGATTAAACTATTAGAAGTAGAATGACTAGAATAGTGCCTGGTACATAGTAAATACCATTATCAGTATCAGTGCTTATTATCATATTGTTACTTTTAAGAAGTAAATCACTTTTCACAGTTATCTATTTAGGCAGGTCTTATGAAGCCATTGTGAAGATTAAATCGTCAGCTTGGTTCAAACCAACCCCCCAAATCAGTTAACTTGCTCAGGAAATCAAATGTTGAATGAGGAAACTATTGTGCAGGTCCTAGGGTTAAAGACACACAAGGAAAGCTTAAGTAGCATTGTTCGATGGACAGACAACTCTGTAAGCCTGCACAAGTGCACTCAAGATGCGTGTTGCTATGCTGGGCATTGTGAATACAGGCCCAATAGAAGCTGAGGCACCATACCTTGAGATTTAAATGGAATTGGCTCAAACTCTAGCCCACATACAGTGGGAATAGCATACACCTCCTTCCTATCTCTCTGGGAATTCTGAGAGTATGATTTATGCTTTTCCAGCTCACTTCATGCTCTGAGCTTCTGTTCCTGCTGAATTATTTCATCTGTGAATCATCTTGCTGCCCTGAATGCAGTCCTGTTTATAACACGTTGTTACAGAGGAAGGAAAACGAACCTTTTCCTTGACATCCCTCACAAAACGCTACTGGCACAAAGCATTTGTGCAATACAGGGGGCATTATGTTGTGGAGTCACAGAGCAAAAGCCATAAAAATTTTAGCTGTTAACCCTTGTCTTAAAAGTGCTTTGGCCGACCTCTCTCATCACCTATTTCATTCAAGGTTCTGTATTGCAAGCAACAAGCACCTTAATTTTGAACAAGCACCTTAATTTTGGCTCATGTAAGCAGGAAAGGAATCTCAGAAAGGACTAAATAATCAGGCTGGGAGTCTGTATTTCCAGGAATGACACATGGAATCATGCTGCAAAACTGGTCCAGTGAAGAAACTTCAGCAGCCACCACTGTGCACTGAATTGCATCACAGTTTGCACAACTGACAGAAGTGGATGTGGCTACTTTGTAATTGATGCCGCGGCTGCTGCTGCTATTGCCACCCTTCTCCAGCATGCTTTCTTTGCAGTCACTGCTTTGTTGAATCATTAGTCCCATATTCAAAATTTAGGTGAGTATATCATTGGTGTTGTGTTAGGTCATATGCCCAACTCTAGCAGCAAGAGAGGCTGGGAAAGCAGGTTCTCTCTGTAAGATAGGCATTCTCAAATCCAAAGATGCAAGTTGTTTATGTCAGTACTTCCTGAACTTTAATGTGCTTCTAAACCAACTGGAGGTCTTGCTGAAATGCAGATTCTGATGCATTAAGTCTAGAAGAGGGGTCTGAGATGCCATAGCACCCAGGTGATGCAAAGCTGCTGGTCTGGACCACACAGAGTAGCAAAGCTCTATAGCAAAGAGTTTTAAATTTGGTTGTGTATTGGAGTAAACTAAGAAGCATTAAACACACACACACACACACACACCGCCAATGTCTGGGTTTCAGCTGATTTAATTAGTCTGAAAATACAAACTTTTAAAAGCCTCCAGATGATTCCAGATAGCATCTTTCAAAGCAGGCTGCAACTTCTTGTCACTTTGCAAAATTGTTTTTTTCTCCAGATTCCCAGACTTCCACTTTGTGAGCCTTGCTTATTAGTTTCCCCCTTAAAATTCAATTACTCTCATTTATTATGCAGAAAACTTGACACTCCACCTCCCTCATGCCTTGGACCTAACTTTGCATTTCCAAAGACCAGATAAAGAGTTCTCCTAATACAGAATTTTCCAAAAGTATGCTACCTGTTGCCCTGAGAGTGTGATCTAAAGAGAACCACAGATAACTATTATTTTAAATTTTAATATTTATATATTTATTTTAATGTGCATTGCTAAAAAATGTAACCAACACAATAAATGTGATTTCATAAATATTATTAAGTAGAAAAACATTGAGTCAGTTTTTTAAAAATTAGGTAAATAATAATGTAGAGATTTTAGAGCAGATACAACAAAAATCAAGAAAATGGTTTGCAATTAAATGAAGTTTGAAAGTGCTTTCCTGATTGTAAGTCTTCTATCCAAAGTCCCAGGCTTTAGGAGTACAATAGAACTGACAAAGGAGATTAAAAAAAAAAAAAGCTATTTTTTTTCTCCCTGTCCTATCAAACTCCAAAGCAGTGATTTTCAACCTTTTTCATATCAGGGCACACATGAACTAATTACTAAAATTTTGCAGTGCACCAGAAAATATATATTTTGCCAATGTGACAAAAAAATAGGTATAATTTTGATTCATTCACTCTAGACAGCTATTGTTGTACTGGCTGTAGTCATTTTTAAATTTTGACAATCTAAGGGAAAAGAGGTCAGTTCCCCTTACTAAATAGTCAGGTATTGCATGTTTTAAAAATTCTTGTGGCACATCAGTTGAAAATCGCTGTTCTAAAGGATGAGGAATCATTATATGAGATTTATTTTTGAATTTATATGTATGATGCTACCAACTCAACACACTGAAATGATTACAGACAATTGTGATCTTAAATAATATTTCTTGTTTCTCTATTAAATGAAGATTTCTCAAATTACAAGAAAATACCACCAACCTTTGAAAAAGTCATGATCTAAACAAAAATGACTATAAGAATTGCTTATGGAATATGAAATATAAAAACTAGGTTAAATTCCTTAACCAATTAATCTTTGACAAAAAAACAAAACAAAACAAAAATGGCCCCTAACCAGTTTGGCTCAGTGGATGGAGCGTCGGCCTGCAGACTCAAGGGTCCCAGTTCGATTCGGGTCAAGGGCAGGTACCTTGGTTGCGGGCACATACCCAGTAGGGAGTGTGCAGGAGGCAGCTGATGGATGTTTCTCTCTCATCAATGTTTCTAATTCTTTATCCCCCTCCCTTCCTCTCTGTAAAAAATCATTAAAATATATATTTTAAAAAAATGGGTCAAGTATTTTAAGTTATTGAAAGCTAACCAACAAATCCAGAGAGCTCAAAAACTCATAAGCAGGAGAAATTTTTAAAACTCCACACCCAGTCACATCATTGTGAAATTTCAAAACACCAAAGAAAAACAAATCATAACCAGCAATTAGATTGACAGCAGATTTCTTAGTATCAACAGAAACCAGAAGAAAGTAGAATATGTTCACTATTCTGAGACCAAAAAAAGACAACTGTGAATGTAGAATCATACTATATCTAGTAAAATTATCTTCATGAAAAAGGGCAAAATGAAAGAATTTCAGATGGAAGAAAATCTGAGAACTTACCATTCTCATTAAAGAAAATTCCACAGAATTTACTTCAGGCACAAATAATCCAAAGAATTAACTGAGATATGCAAAAAAATTGGTACGCAAACAATTTTTATACATGTGAGAGGGTCTAAAAAACATGTCTAATTTATAGGAGGAAAACATGATAGAACTAAAATAGTGAATAATAATCCTATATAATAAAAGCCTAATATGCAAATTGTTCCCTCAACCAGGAGTTTGACCAGGGGGCGGCCCGGTGGCAGCAGGGGCAGGTGGCTGGGGGAAGGGAGGCGCCCCCAGCTGGCAGCAGCTTGGGACCCTACCCATGCACGAATTTTGTGCACTGGGCTTCTAGTACCTTATAAATTGGGAGGGAGGGCTGTGTGCAGCTTTAAAAAAATCCTAAGGACTTTGGATTACCCAAAAGGAGAGTAAAGATATTATTTTAGACTTTTAAATAGAATGACCTTAAAACAGAGCGTATTACTCCAAATAAGTTGAGATAAAAGACATATCACACACACACACACACACCCCCCAAAAGAAGCTTCTTCTTTAACTTTTTGGCATTTTAATCTTTTTTTGTTGTCTGCCATTCTTATTTATGATAAATAGTATTTTATAATTTCTCATTGTGAGTTTATCTTTAAAGAGTCCTTTTCTTATGAGAATGCTTCAGGCTTTCACAGAAATGCCTCTCCAGGTTGGTTTATGTTTGTTTCTGCCAGGCATTCCAGACATACCTTGTCTGGGATCTTTTGGGGGAGGAAGGGGGGGTCGGGGGATCAATTTCTAGATTTTGAGAGTCCAACAAAACATAAGTGCTTTGGTGAAATTCAGGTCTGGGGTTTCAAAATTTCATCAGAATTAAATCTTTTCTTTTCGTGCAGAAACGAGACGGGCGTCCTCCTCTGCTTGTCCACCGGGCGCGCTGTACTGTCCCGCGTCCGCCTTCAGGAAAGGATGCTCTTTGGGGACAGCGGCCTTTGGTAGGATACTCAGTTTCAGCTCAGATTTTGGGTTACTCCAAACCCTTACCATCCGCCCCGCACTTCAGGCTCGGCTTATGGAGACCAACCGCCGCTTGCACACCTGCGATGGCTGACCACCCCGGTTTGCCTGGGACGTGGTTTTTCGGGGACATGGGGTTTTTCAGCGCTCAAGTCAGGAAAGTTGGTCACCCTGCACTCCAGCCCTCATATCCGGGGCCGGAGGAGACCCAATGAAAAAAGCCACTGCTCTGGCTTTCATCCTAACTTCTTGCATCTCCGGATTTCACTTCATTTTTTATGGGTTAAGGGCATATTAAAATAAAGGTCGGTGGTTATTGTACCCGATCGTGCGCGGTGCTGGTGGTGACACAGCTGTGCAGGCTCCCGAAGTCCGCCGTTCCGCCGTCTCACAGGGAACAGTGTCGCGCCTCCCATTTGCACAAAAGTGAAGCTTGAAGGTAACAGTCATGGTCAGCTGCCCGCTATGGGGAGCGGTTCCCAGAGTTGCGATCTGCTCCCCCGACCACCCCACAGCTCACCCTGCTCTCGGCACTGTCTCCCTGACCCCGAGAAAGTTCTAGAATCCTCTCGGCAGGCCTCGCTGCTTCTCGGAAGGCCTGGAAGATAAACTCTCCCTTACAATTTAAACTCCCAACGGGAAAATATATATATCCGTTTTGTTAACTCCTGCATCTGTGATACCTGTTAATTGCACACACTTCAATAATGCTTCTTTAAAAAACGAACATCCCGAATGGCCTGACAAAACTGGTTATTTTTACTAATCTAATCCAATCTACAATTTGACAGAAAGGCGTCCATGCTTCATTTCTTTTTACCTTTTGTTCCCTATTCTGCTTAGACTTGTTTCTATTTTCTATTTCTGCAGGCATTTCCATTGATTTAGGGACCAGCGTTATGGATAATCGTGTCGGGACGAATCTCCTGCATTCAGGACGCCATTTTGAAATTAGAGCCCAGAACACATTAAAATGTCTTTTTCAATTTTAACATATATTTGAATGTGCATAATAAATTCAAGTGGGCTCCGAAGGCGCTTTCGGGGTGAAGTGTGGAGTCTGTGGGTCAGTCCGTCTGTCTAAGGACGGCGCCACCCGGCTGCACATCGCCCTCGGCCCGCGCGCACCCCCTATGAGGCCCCCCACGTCCACCCCCACGGGGCCGCCAACATCCCCCGCAGGGCCCCCCACCCCACCCCCCCGCAGGGGGCGGGAGCCGTCACCCATTGGCTGAGGCGGCTCTGACGAGTGAGCCCCAGGACCGAGCAGGCGCAGGAGTACTTCCCAGAGCCCCCTGGCCGCCGCAGTGCCCTGCGCCCCTCAGCCTCGCGCGGCGGCTCTCGGGACTCGGGAGCCTCGCTGCCGCCACCTCTGACTTTTCTTTCTTCTCGGGCTTGTCTCCGCTGTCCAGTCGAGGCCGGGCAGCGGGCACCAGCGAACCTAACAGCAGACCCACGCGTGGTGCCGGAGGAGCAGCCTCTGCTCGTCCTCGAGCCCTGTCAGCGGAACTGCTCGCTGCCGCCATCATGGTGAGTGGAGAAGGCCTGAGGGGTGGCTGAAACTCAGTATTGAGGGGGAAGGCGAGGTGCAGAGGGGGACTGGGGTCACCTGGACTTCTTGTCTGAGGCGCCTGCCCGGGTGCACCCGAGGCTGTGGCCTAAGAGTGGGGGGGGAGAAAGAAGATGTAGGCGGGGGGGGGGGGGGGGGGGGCGGGGGGGGGGACTACATGGCAGGACCTCGGGGCAGGCGAGGAGGAGCCCGCCCGAAGCCCAGCCCGAGGTGTGGTGGAAGGGCGCGGCCTCCGCTGACCACGTGCAAGGCCCGCGGCCTTCATGCCGTCACCTCCTCCCGCCCCTCCTCCCGCCCCTGCGCGAACTAGCCTGTGGGGATCCGCCAGGTCCTGGGGTGCGGGGCGCCTGGCTCCCCCCTCCCCCACCCACCCGCTTCCCTTCCCGAGCTCACCCTGTGCAGAGAGGTGAGGGCCTCTGAGATGGCGTCGGGCTGTCGCCACCGGAAGCCCCCTGGCGCAGACTTTCTGAGGGCCCCGCTCCGTGACTTCGAGAGCTGGCGTTTCCTCAGAAAGTGGCTCCTTCCGGGTCCCAGTGAGGCTTGGGGGGGGAGGGGGCGCGTCTGGAAGGGAGCGGCCTGTGAGCTAAGCGAGGGGCTGGGCCTGAAGTGTTTTCCCGGCGGCCCCTCCTGCAAAGGCAGCTCTCGGCAGGCAGGGGCGGAGGCGCAGCGAAGGGCGAAGGGCGGGGCCGGGCCTCAGGGGGCGGCATTTCCGCTCCCGCGTAGAGAGAGCTGCCTTTGCTTCCGAGGGACCGGAAATGTGGGAAGTTCAAAAATTTTCACTCTTGTGGACAGTTTTCGTCTCTAGATAAACCAGGAGCTTTAGACCAAGTGTACGCACCGTCATATTCTGCGGGTTGTACACGGCCGTGAGTCTTGGTAAATAGATGGAGTTGATTCCGCCCCACCACAAGGTAGAACTCCGTGAACACTGCTAACCAACCACGAAGCCGCAAGTGCATTAAATATCATGAGTAGTTACTGGTTGTATAATAATTGTTATTCTCTCTATTTTAAGAGGTAGAGGAAGGAAATTTATATACAACTTTAATTAGTATAAATGTTAGAATAAAAATTTATAATTATCTGTAAGTAATTTTGTAACTTTGTCACGTATTCATATTTAATCACTATGCATTACTGTAAGTTATTTACAACCATTTCTCTATTTTTAGAGGAAAAGGAGGGCAACGCTAATAGATTATTGACTTTTTTTCTGGTTATAAAAAGTAACATCTCATTTGAAAGTAATCAATATAAGAAAATAGAGGTCCATCTTAGTCCCGACACCTGTTAAAATTTTGATGTCTATGCCCTTCCAGTGAATGTATTGCATATAAATAGGTAAATTTTATTTGACAAAAGTTGTACCATACTATATATAATCCTGTTTTACAACTTGCATCTTTCACTTAATATAGTGGATATTATTTCCAAAGATAAGTTTAAAATAATTTTAAACTTATAATGTTAGAGTATAAGACTGTATTATTACTCGTTTTAGCAAATTCCCTTATAATGAATAACTTTTTTAATATTAAAATAATACTGTAAAAAACAATACTATAATGAGAATTTCTGTGTAAATGTTTTGACATGCTTATTCTGTTAATTCCTCGAAATAAATTGCCAGGAGTGGAATCACAGGGTATGTTTTGCCCATTTTATAACAATTTTAAGTTGCATATCTTTCCAAGTGACTCTTGATAAAATATGTATTAGTATATATTCCCATTGATGGTGCGTAGAGTGACCTATTCTCCATTTAAGTTGCCAATCTGGTAGCTGGAAAATACTTCACCATGTTGATGTGCTTGTTTATTATTAGTTAAATTGAAGTTTGTCATTAACTTTTAAAATATAAATTCTTAATTTACCTTTCTACTTGGATATTTTTCCTTATCTTAATGATCTATGAGAACTCTATATTAATATTAACCCTTTGTCATTATAGGCTAGAAAAATTTAGTGGCCATAAGGAAGTGCCCTTATTCCTAATTTCAAAGGAAATCAGTATATAATGTTTCACATTAAGCCTGATGATGACTTAGAATTAGATTGATAGCAAATAAGATTCTTCTATTTCGATTGTACTTGGGTTTTTTAAAAATTTAAAAAGGAATGCTGTATTTTATCAAATATTTTTTCATTGGTGAATTGCAATAATAGCTTTCCTAAGAATGAACCATCCTTGCATTTCCAATATAAATTGTACTTAATTATATATTTTTATATATTGTTTGAATTTCACATCTTTGTTGGGGGCAGGAGTGGACCATTTTAATAAGGTTTTGTTATTCAGATGGTGGTAATTTTGTAAAATGAATTGAGAAGTACTCTTTTTTTTCCTCCGAAAAGTTTTTTTTTAATAAAAACAGAATTTTCTTTTTCTTCTACTTCCTCTTCTATTTACCACTGTTTCTGTCTTGGTGCCCTTCCTATCCCCATCTATACACACAAATGATCTCTTGATAGTTTGAAAAAACAAACTCTCAGTGAAACTAACCTAGGAATCATTTCTTAACATTTTTTTAAAAATTTGTTTCTCTAGAACAGGGGTGGGCAAACTTTTTGACTCGAGGGCCACAATGGGTTCTTAAACTGGACCTGAGGGCTGGAACAAAAGCATGGATGGAGTGTTTGTGTGAACTAATAATAAATTCAAAGTAAACATCATTACATAAAAGGGTACGGTCTTTTTTTTTTTTTAGTTTTATTCATTTCAAACGGGCTAGATCCGGCCCGAGGGCCGTAGTTTGCCCACGGCTGCTCTAGAAAGTTAGCCATTTCATCAAGATTTCCAAATTTACTCCCATAGAGCATATAATAGCATTTTCTTATAATCTGTGGTCATAGCCGCCTTTTTACAACTAATGTGTCTTTTTGCTTTCTTGTCCTTTTTCTTGCTTAGCTTTGTCAGGATTGTTTATTGTTTTGGATTTTTTCCCCCAATAGTTTATTCTTTGACTTTTTTTAAAGGTTTTATTCTGATTGTCTATTTCCTTCGTTTTTGTTTTTCTCCTTTTTAGCTTCTTCTATGGATATAACTGATGCATACAAATTGTAGACTTTTTTTTAGGTCACTGTATATAGAGCTCAGTTTGCCTGCATGTAGTAATTGAATGAAATAATATTGTTAAAGAGCTGACATCCCAGGAGTTTTATTACCAATGTTTATTTCAGCTTTTAGTTATTGTCATTTGGTTATCCAGCTAACTATTACAGGAAATATATCCTATAAATAGAAGTGATGAGAATTTTATATATGATGGCCAAGTTCAACCCTATTTATATCTCAGCATTGTTCATTTCAGTAATTAAGAAAAATAATTACTTCTTACATATAATTTACATGTAATTTATTTTCTGCATACTATTGATGGTTAAGATTGATACTTTAACACTAATCTTTTTGCTTTATTGTGGAGTATTTTTGGCAATAGTTTAAAAGTAACTAAAGGTTTCCTATTGGTTATGGATATTGTATATACAAATTACAGTTTATATATATAAAAGGCTAATATGCTAAGTGTCAAAACATTCGACCAGTAGCTATGACACGCACTGACAACCAGGGGGCAGACGCTCAACACACAGGCATGGAAATATGGAACAGACTGATAAATCTCAGAGGGAAGGGGGAGGCAGGAGGGAGGGAAGAGATTAACCAAAGATTTTATATGCATACTAGAGGCCCGGGTGCATGTTTGTGCACTGGTGGGGTCCCTCAGCCTGGCCTGTGACCTCTCGCAATCTGGGACCCCTCAGAGGATGTCGGACTGCTGGTTTCGGCCCAATCCCCGCAGGCCAGCCCAAGGGACCCCACCGAGCATGAATTCATGCACTGGGCCTCTAGTTATATATAAATACACACAGTCGGAGTTTTAAAATCCTTGCTGTTCAGTCTTGTTAAAATGGAGTACTTTGCTTACTTTGTTAGCTTTGAGCGCCACCTGCTGGCTAAGGACTAGGACATGATGGTGCCTTAATTTAAGGCATTATGACAACTGGTAAAAATAATTTGATGAATTTTATATTTAATATCCCAATTAATCAGGCAGCCAATCTGTACACCCAACTCCAAGCCAAACTTCCTATAATATCTAATGGATTTTTTCTCTTTTTCCCAAATCACTGTTAGTTGTTTCAAATACCCATTTTACTTTTATAAATAGAATATGAGAATTAGAACTGTTTCTCTTCAATTCTGGCAACACTATCATGGTGTTTCTCAAACATAACCCTATTAAAATGTGGGTCTAGATAATTCTTTGTTGTGGTGGGCAGCCTTTTGCATTATAAATGTTTATTGTGTCCCTGGCCTCAATCTACCAGATACCTAGCAGCACTCAGTTGTGGCAACCAAAAATGCCCCTATCCTGCAAAATCTCCCCTGGTAGAGAATCAGTACATTAATATAACCCCTCATAATATGGCACAGTTTTATGGCCTGTTGTTATACCTGTGAATTAAAAAAGCATCCTTCTGCCATGCCGGCACATGGCTCAGTAGTTGAGCATTGACCTATGAACCAGAAGGTCCAGTTTGATTCCCAGTTAGGGCACATGCCCAGATTGTGGGCTTGATCCTCAGTGTGGGGCATGCAGGAGGCAGCTGATCAATGATTCTCTCTCATCGTTGATGTTTCTCTCTCCCTTCCTTCCTGAAATCAAATATATATATATATATATGTATATATATATATATATATATATATGTATAGATATGTTTGTATGTAATTAAAAAAATATCCTGTAAGATTCACAGACAAATAATATTGTAAATAGTTATTAAATTAAAGGGTATCCAAAGTTCATCCACAAATGAAGGGGAAATTGAGAAAGAGAAAAGGAAGTTAATAGGAATTACAGAATCACTGTATTGTGTTTTGGAATTTTGAATTCTGATTGAAAGGAGTTGGTAAATTGTCTATCCAATAATGAGAGAAATCTAGTCAGGTTCTCAATAGTTCAATATATGTGGCTTCTATAATAAAGTCCCATTTAGAAAAAAACTAAAATTATAAAAATATTGCAGTTTATGTTTTATAATGGGAAAAGTTTAGAAATAAGATTACTCTCTCCACCTAATTGTCATGAAACGTCACCATATCATAGTTAAAAGAAAGAATTAAGTATTCAAATAGAAGCCCAAAATAACAATCATAAGCACTAATTAATACAGAAAAGCCAAAATGCACAAAGTGTGATTTGACAATTTTTGTTTCATCTCTAATTAGTATAGCAGTTTGTAGAATCTTTTGTCCTTGTTTTCCTCCATAAACAGAAGTGTAATGGTTTTATCTCTCTTTTCCTGCCTTTTGTACTTAGCTCTTATAATCAATAAGCATTTTATAAAAGAATTTCAAATAGGCAGATGTACCATAAAATAATTTCTTGAAGTTCCAATTCAAATTAGTTGTTAATTAATAAAGTATATACAAAATTAGTAAGTCAGTAGTAAAACCAGGAAGTAAACTTTTTTAACTATTGAAAATTCAGTAACTTATATTGGCATACTCTTTTCAAAATGAATTCACAGATGTTATTTCATCTCATTCTCCAAGCAATTTTCCCAGCAATAAACTGCTGCAAAGTAAGTGACTTTTAACCTAGTAAGGGACATGAAACCTACATCTCCTGACTAAATCAATTTTTGTTTCATTATCCTATATTACCAATAAATTCTGCTTCAGAGAAATTTACATTAACCTTAGTGTGGGAAGACTAAAGACAGAGTTCTGACCAGAATCCAGGAAAACAATGAGTTTCATATGTGGGTCTCTTTTTCTGAAAATAAAGATGGCATATATATCTAGCAGCCCACTGTGAAAATTAAAATTATCAGTAAGACGGATAATGTTATTTCAAAAAATGCTTTGAACATCTTAGCATTAGGGATAAGGATGATAAGCCCTTTTTTATTAGGAGCTATATGTGAGCACGTAATGTTTTTGTGGTCCTTTCCAAAGTAAGCAAGCATACTAACACGAGGAATATCCTATATAATAAAAGGCTGATAATGCAAATTGTCCCCTCGGGAGTTTGACCGACCAGGAGTTCAACTGCTTGCTTATGACAAGCACTGATCACCAGGGTGCAGTGTGGAATGAAGGAAGGTGCTGGCCAGCAGCCAGCAGCTGGGGGAAGGAAGACTCCGATCAGCCCTGATCCCCGGCCAGGCCTCGGGACCCTATCCATGCACGAATTTCATGCACCAGGCCTCTAGATCTAATTATAAAATCCATGTTAATTTTGGTGAATAGAAAAATTAAGACTAGAAATTATTTTAAACCTAAATTTTTGTTTTCTTTCTTATGCAGCTTTTAAAATTTTATCTTTTAGCCCTAACCAGTTTGGCTCAGTGGATAGAGCGTCAGCTTGTGGACTGAAAGGTCCCAGGTTCGATTCCGGCCAAGGGCATGTACCTTGGTTGCGGGCACATTCCCAGTGGGAGGTGTGCAAGAGGCAGCTGATCAATGTTTCCAATTCTCTATCCCTCTCTCTTCCTCTCTGTAAAAAATCAATAAAATATATTTTTTAAAAAAATTAAAATTTTATCTTTTAAAAAAATTTACCATACTGTTTAATAAGTTACTTATAAAATGAAAATTTGCTTATTGGCATAGAATAGGATAATTTTAATAAATTTATTTTTTACAAACCTGAATTTGCTAATTATTTTTTACCAGTTCACATAGTATTTTCACAAACTCAATATAAAATCAGTATTCTACCATAAGAAATGGCAATGAGCAACACTAAAGCTAAGTAAGTACTATATACCCTTTCGTTAATATTTCATGCTGATCCGCTGTGATTACACCTGAGCCTGAACTAAGCTATATTGTTAACTAATTTAAAATGAAAATAATTTATATGAAAATGTTTTATACTTTAAAGAATTATAGTTCACATTGTATGATTGCCTGTATATCTACTGATAATATCTCTATATCTGTTTACCAAATTACAGTCTGCTACAAATTCTGAGACTCAAAAGTCAACCATCTCCAGAGAGGCCAGCACCCAGTCCTCATCATCTACGACCAGCCAAGGCTATGTTTTACCTGAAGGCAAAATCATGCCAAACACAGTTTTTGTTGGTGGAATTGATGTTAGGGTATTGTATTCATATTTAATTTATTTAAAAATATGTCTTAGGAATAATGGGATTTTTGTGCTTATTGCAAACATAAGGATTTTGTACTTCATGCAGTATTGGAACTAGTTTTGTGTTTAACCTGTGGGGACTGAAAGTATCTTTGACAAAGAGCTACAGGTAGTTTGAGGATACTTGGGTGAAATAGTTCCACATCATCAAATCTTCTTTTATAGTATAATTGAAATTTTCGAATGCTGAATATTTACTCTTAAAAGTCAAATTCTTTTCTATAGATGGATGAAGCTGAAATTAGAAGTTTCTTTGCTAGATATGGTTCAGTAAAAGAAGTGAAGATAATCACGGATCGAACTGGTGTATCCAAAGGGTAAGTAAAACATGCTGAATATGAAATATAAAATACAACATATGAACTAGTTTGTAGATTACTAAAGGCAGAACTCAAAACTGGTATTTTATACGTACTTGTATAAATGAAATTCGTTGCTTTGTTAATTTTTTTTCATGGAGATAAATGTTTGCTGCCAGCTCTTTCATTTAATCATTTTCCTAGTATTTGCATTTAAATATTTCCCATCTTTATTTATTTAACTTAAGTGGATTAATTAATTTTATTGAAGAATTGGGTTTTTTTGCACATTTCACCATATTTTAAATTTTAACCTTTTTGCCATAGACAGTAAATTATATTTAGGTTTCTAGATGGGACTTTCCTGTTAATGAATAAGGTTCTCACACTACTTTAATTGTAAGAAAAAAAAAAGCAGTAATATTTATAGAATATCATGTACATCTTAAAAATATTTATCTGTGTATTCTTCATACTTTATTATTATCACTTTTGTTAATTATTTCATAGAATACTAGAAATTTTAAAACATTCAGTTATGGTGATGATTTTATACTTTATTTATCTGCCTTTCTAGCTATGGATTTGTTTCATTTTATAATGATGTGGATGTGCAGAAGATAGTAGAAGTAAGTAGTCTTCTTATGGGAAAATCTTTTAATTAGATTTTGGATGCAATGTTTAATATTACTTGAGTCCCAGATACATATTCAATCATATAAAATACAGAGATAAAGCCCAGCCAGTGCTCAGTGGTTGAGCACTGACCTATGAACCAGAAGGTCACAGTGATTCCCTGTCAGGGCATATGCCTAGATTGTGGGCTCAATCCTCAGTGTGGGGAGGGCAGGAGGCAGCCGATCAATGATTCTCATCATTGATGTTTCTATCTTTCTCTCCCTCCACCTTATTCTCTGAAATTAATAAAAATATAAAATACAGAGATAGATGTACTTCTTTTTTGAAATCCGAACTTGAGTAATCTTACATAACTTGTGAGAACCTATTTGTTTTTGATTGGGCTTCTAGCTTCATGAACTAGAGACAGAATGTAAAGGTTTTGATCAAATTCCATGATACCTCTTGACACTTGAGTAGTGATGGTAAGGTTCAGATAAATTTTTTTTATTTACTATGTTATTACCACTGATCTTCTCTGATAGTAGACATTTTTAGAACATTTAGGATGTTTATGAAAGTCTTGGAAGTAAAGACTTCAAAATTGATTCTACTTTTGTTACTATTTTCAGTCACAGATAAATTTCCATGGTAAAAAGCTGAAACTGGGCCCTGCAATCAGGAAGCAAAATTTATGTGAGTAAAGAAAGGAATTTTTCTTGTTGACACGTGTAGCTTTTCAGAGAACTAAAAATAGGCTTTGTTTTCTTTTTATTCTTTACAAAGGTGCTTATCATGTGCAGCCACGTCCTTTGGTTTTTAATCCTCCTCCTCCACCACAGTTTCAGAGTGTCTGGAGTAATCCAAATGCTGAAACTTACGTGCAGCCTTCAACCATGATGAATCCTATAACTCAGTATGTTCAGGTAAGAAATACCTACGTTCCTGTGATTTTTTTTGTTTTGTTTTTTCATTTTATTCGTATTGGAAATCTTACTTAAAAGTAAGCTAGTCTCACTTCTTATCTCCTGTGGAATTACATACGCAATTTCCATAATAAGTGATAACAATGTTTCTGTTTGAATACTTAAGGCTACAGGAAATCTATTTTTGTAAGTCTGTCATTCTTAGTTATTCCTTATTCTAAGCTAAAATCTGCTTCTATATAGTTTGTAAACCTTTATCTTAAAACTGATCTCTGTAGCCACAAAGAACATGTCTTTTCCTTTTCTTGCCTTATATAATAACTCATAAAATATATGAAGGCAGATTTTCTCATGAGTCTGCCTTGTTTATTCCTCTCTAAGATAAGCCATTTGTCTAGTTATTCCATATTTGCAATGTCTAGATGCCTCCCCATAAAGATCGCTGACTTCTGGATATATTCTGGTTCTAGAGTGGATAGGTTTCTGGTGACTTAACTGTACTTGTAAACTATAAATCTGGCATACAATTTGGTCCTGGTTGGTTACTTCAATATTTGAAGTGGTATGTGGAATATTTACTATCTCCTATGATGATAGTGTTTATTTCCTTCATTTTCTTTTCTTCAGTTTAAAAGACATTTTATTTGCATAAAATAAACAGAAAAATAAATAGTACTGCAGTGTCTCTCCTTTGTTTACATTTTCTATCTACCTGAAGTGTAGTGTATATTTATTTTTCTTGTCCTAAACATGGCTAGAAGAAAAAAACCACTTGTTCCTAACATTTATTGTGTTATTACCTATTCTGGCTATATTCATATATACTACTACCTAGAATTTTTTATCAGTAATATTTATTGAAAGATGTAGTATATTTTACTGCCTCTTTTCCCATTTGGGTTGTATATTGCCCGTAAATTTTAGAAGTAAAATACAAAAAGAGCCATAAGTTTTTAGGAAGACTATACATTGACTACACATTACCCCCATGATATTGTCAAAGAAATACAAAACTACCTAGAAGTATTTTTACAGAGAAATAGATGTATTAATATAACTTTAACACAGAAATCTATCCTAATAAAGTCTTGTCACCAGTGTAAGAAAGAACTTCTGAGTGGTGATAAATATATAAATGATATAAACATAAGCTGGCAAAATCAGTCACTTCCCTTATTTACCCCTTCCTCCTAGAGAATACTTTTTTCTTTATGAAGCCAGTCCTCAAATAGGGTCCTGCACTATATACAGAAAAATAATTAAGATTTCTTCATTTTCATATATTTGTTCTTTGGGGAAAATATTCCTTCTTTACATTCTTTCTGAAACTTTTATTTTCAGGCATATCCTCCTTATCCAACTTCACCAGTTCAGGTCATCACCGGATATCAGCTGCCTGTTTATAATTATCAGGTAATTTAAGAGGGAACAAATGATTTACTTTGGAATATTATTGAGGCCTTTATTTATATAAATAGTTTTTCATTTAAATTAGTTGAGTATGCCTAAAATTTAAGAAAAACTTTGAATTAACTCTCCTGTATTATTAGAAATAAGGGAATGATATTTTGACAGGAATCTACTTAGCAGTAAGTTTTTTCTTGTATTGTCTTGCAAAATTTGGTATCCCCTTTATGTATTCCTCATCTTTACTATCAAATAGCTGAAACACCCAGGCTGACTTAAAACTTTTACCAGGGAAGAGGTTGAAATAAAATTATTACTCAATTCTTAGAACATTGACTTCCAGTTATATTTGGTAGTGTTTATTTTAGCTAGCTACTACAAGATAGTAGTAGTTCTCTGAATTTCTCTGCTCCTAGATATGACTATATCTATGATCCATGATCATATATCTATGGTAATAAATTCAAAGAATACTATCTTTGAGTTTTCCTGACTGCCAATCTCAAAAATTGAGGAAAAGGTAGAGTTTATATTTGAAAGTAATAATAAAATCCTCAGGTGTTAGAAACATAAAGTACTACTTTATTTCATTGTTTCTTTTATTATAAGAAGTTCAAGAAGCCAGCATGACAAATACCCCAACATTGTCTATCTGATATCTTTGTGAAAAGTGTAGGAATATTTAAATATTTCCTTTTTTTTTTTTAAGATGCCACCACAATGGTCTACTGGGGAACAAAGGAGTTATGTTATACCTCCGGTAAGGTGAATTAGCCAAATACATACTTCCTGTTCTTAAGTATTTTTTTGTTTAACTATTAATATTTTTTTTGAGCTTTTGCCATATCATGTATGCCTCGAAACATGTTTAATTGCCCTTTTACATTATGTGTTATGGTTTATTAATTTCTTGTCAACTCAAATGTATACTCCCTGGGAGAAACTGCTTTTTGTTTCTCAGCTTGTTTTTGCTTAAACAATGGCCACTCTGCATACAACAGGTGTTTAATTCGTTACTGATAGAATATACAACCCAAGAAACGTAGTATTAATAGCTATGATAATGCTAATTCTATGGATTTAGAATTAGTATTGAATCTGCTTCTAGTTTCCTACCTATAAAAATGTCTGTTGAAGAGAGAGAAAGTAATATTTTTCTGTAATATGCTGTATGTTATATAAGAAAGGGAATAAAAAAAGTGCTACCTCTAAAATACCTAAATCTTTATTACCTTCTGTCTTTCATCAGGACTGGATATTTGAAGGATATAATATGAGTTAAAATTCTCAGGTGCTAGGAAATTTCCATTCCCTATAATTTGAAGTTTCTTTTTTTTTTTTTTAGAGCACTTCCAATTCTGATTGTGTTGAGGCTTAAAAGAAATTTCAAAATAAAAGATTGCCTTATTATTGCATTTCAGCTTCAGTTTAAAATAAAGTTTCTGTTGTAATGTAATTGAACTTCAGCATGATGCGCATTTAAACTTTCAATATCATCTCACCATTTTGAAGAATAGGTTGTTCAGAAGTGTGTCTAATGTACATCCCTTTAATTATACTTTTATCATTTTAAATGCAGGTTTATGCAGCTGTTAACTACCACTGTAATGAAGTTGATTCAGGAGCTGAAATTTTGACAAGTGAATGCTCGGTTCATGAAGCTACTTCTCCATCCTCTGGAAATGGCCCACAAAAGGCAAACATACAATTTTATTAATATTTTTATATTTATTTTTTCAAGTTTTAATAATGGCCCTTTGAGAAGTGAGCATCTTTTCCCAAATTTAAATATGGGAGTCATAAATGAAAAAGCTTGAGTAATTGATAATATGTCAGTTTATGTTAAAGTTGATGAAATTCCAGGCACCCCCAAACTTTTAGTATATAGATATAATTTCTAATTTAGTAGTTCTTTTCCTCTGTTCCAATTTCATTTTTATTCTTTTTTAAAACCATACTTTAATAAGTATTGTATTAACATGACTTAACAGAATGCAATGGCAAGTTTCCTCAAGCCTCCTATTCTGCAAAAGAGGAATTAGTATGAATTATACCTACCTGTTTGTTCTTTGTTGTGTTTGTGTGTGTGTGTGTGGGGGGGGGGTTTGTTTGTTTTTTTACCAATTTAAACATTTACCTAGCTAAATAGTAACATGCAGTTATTTATGGTATTCTTTCTATAGCATTATACATGGTAGTTTTCAGGAGTGGTGGAGTCACTAAAAATTAAAATATTGAAGTAGACAGTTTTTTTTAATCATTACAGCAAATTCCTATAATAACAGTGTTTTCACTTTTGAATTGTCTTATGTTTAATTGAATGGGTGGGAATATGGGTAACAGTGGAGAATTTTCATTGTAGTATGTAAACTTTGTCCAAGTGTTTTTCAGTGGAAAAAAAGGTCAAGAACTACTGAACTATATAAGGTGAAGAAATTCCCTGATTTGATATATGATTTGAAATTTGGAAACAGTATTAAAATAGCTCAAAGTATAATTATAATATCAGGTTTTTATCCTGGGTATTTTTTTCTAGAAATGTTGGAGTTCACTATTTCTTATCTAATAGGAAAAATTAAAGAGCCTTAAGCTAATATCTTAGGGTTTTACTAAATTGAGCCTTTAAAATCAGTACTCTATCACTAAGGTTCTAAATATTTCTTGAATTTGGTAGAAAAGTTACATTCTAAGTGACATTCTGTGTGGTTAAGAATTATGAATTCCCTAAAGATTCTTAAGAAATAAGTGTATTTATTCATTAAACTTTATATAAAAAGGGCTTGTTAACAGTAAGTAAAAGGAATAGTCTTTAGATTACAGAAAACGTCTGTGTTTCAGAAATCTGTGGATCGAAGCATACAGACGGTGGTATCTTGTCTGTTTAATCCAGAGAACAGACTGAGAAACTCTGTTGTTACTCAAGATGACTACTTCAAGGTATGAAAGGAATAGCACACAGGATAAAAAAGCACATTTGTCAACCACAAAGCATCTTTTTTTCCTGTGGTATATACATTTTGAGATTATATAGAACATTTAATTGAACTCTTGCATTTGACTGTAACCCAGTAAACCACTATGGGTGAGTTTTACCTGGTAATGCATTTTATGTTGCTCAAACCTTGATGTAGTATAGTTTGTTCTTAGGGGACAAACCTTTAGCAAAAGCTTACAATTGAAAGAGTTTGTGAAAAAAGAGAGTTGAAAGGGAATATTAACTTGATGAAATAGAAGCGTTTTTAGATACAGAAAACAGAACTTAAGAGTACGTGCATATTGGACTAAAGAGAGCAAAGAAATTGATCACTCAGATGACATACTTGAACTCTGTAGGGGGCAAAGAGGTAAAGTGAAGCAATAAAAAGCTGAGTAGAAAAATGGAAGTTGATTGAGAGTTGGTGGAGTGGAAGAGAACATGGGTGTTTGAATTTAAAGAAGTCTGGTTTCTGATTCTGGTTCTATTTATCACCTTGGACAAGTCATATAAATTTTGTTAAGGCTCCAGTTTTTATAAGTCTAAAATGAGAAGACACAAGACTAAAGGTCTCTAAAATCTCTTTAGTTCTCAGTCTGTGAATATGGAAAGGAACTAACTGTTCAGTGAGGGAATAATATTGTATGTGCTTAGTAAAGGGGCATTTTTATTGTTTTTTTAAGTAACATGTTTATTGAATATAATACAATTCACTCCTTTAAAGTGTATAGTTCAGTACTTTTTAGTATATTTGCAAGCCATGACCATAATCACTTTTAGAATATTTTAGTCACATCAAAAATAAACCCCCTACCTATTAGCAGTCACTCTCCATTTACCCCCAACTCTTCTAGTCTTAGCAACCACTAACCTACTGTTATTAAGGATTTGCCTATTCTAGACATTTCATATATGTGTGTGTGTGTATATATATATATATATATATATATATATATATATATATATATATATAAAAGCCTAAGTCATCATTACTTGGCCAGTTGACCAAACAACTGGTCAATATGATGCACACTGACCACCAGAGGGCAGACACTCAACACAGGAGCTCCCACAGCCAACCTCCCATTGGTCCCTTCTCCCGGAGGGCCAGACCCAATTGGCCCCAATCACTGGCCAGGCCGAGAGACCCCACCTGTGCACAAATTCATGCACCAGGCCTCTAGTATAGAATAATACATTTGGCTTTTTGCCACTGGCTTCTTTTACTTAGTATAATGTTTTAAAGGTTCATCAGTGTTACAGCAGGGATAGGAATTTTATTTCTTTTTATTTATGGATATATCATTTTACCCATTCATTACTCAATAGACTTGCATTGTTTCCACTTTTTGGCAGTAATGCTCTCAGCATTTATGTACAAGTTATTGTGTGGACATATGCTTTTATTTCTCTTGGGTATATACTAGGAATGCAATTGCTGAGTCAAATGGCAATATGTTTAACCTTTCAAGGGACTTCCAGAATTTTCTCAAAATGACTACACCATTTTACATTCAAAAGGAAGTTTTTAACCATTGCTTTGTCTTTTAAAACAGGGAAAGAGAATAGTTTTTTCCATCTATGAAATGACATAGAATGAAGCTTAAAGCCTTTTTTGGAAGGGTATACTAAGGACTTTCTGTAATACAGAAGAATAGAGCCATAGCAGGATTAAGTTCTTACCATCTTCTCCACAGGGAGTAAATATTCATTTAAAGTGACATTTGTTCTTTTGTTGTTTCATTCTACATAGTATAACTTAAAGGGAAAGAACTGGTATTGTATCACAGCTTTCCTTTCCCAAAGTTCTGAAGGTTAAATAAGTAGTACTTAAACGATTTTTTTGCAAAGCAGAACATGGTCTTTAAACTTGAGTTTTCAGCTGGTATTAGACAAAAGCTTCCAGAGTTTTTGAACCTTCCAGAGTTTTTTGCTCCTCTGGGCTAGAAACACTATGCAGAAATCAGAAGTTGATAGCCTACAGTTATCTGGCCTTTAGACCTATTTTGATTGGCTAAATGTTATTGTTTTAGTTGAATTTAAATGCATTGAGGCAGGTTATATACTATTTCCATGGTAAATTCCAATCTTTTGTCTAAATTTCAGCTTCTCCATAATTTTTCTTATTCTACCTGATCTTTGAAGAGACTTCCGTTTGTAACCACTTTTCTGGGCTTTAACCTAAATAAGATTTTACCCTAACAATTAAATAATTTCCCATTACCCTTCTTTATATGACAACTGAATTTATCCCTAGGAAAAGGGCAGGGTTTAAAAAAAAAACCCTAATATGTAGAGAAGAAAATACTATTGTGTTATTACTGATTTACTCATATTCCTTCTATCTGCACAACATAAAATGAAAGGAAAAAGTTGTATATATATTTTTAATTTTTTACTTCATTTCCCAAAGAGTGATGTATCTTCATCACAGGTGAAAGATATGCTTTTAAATATGTCAAAACTTTTACTTTTAATCTAAAAGCATAGAATTTCAGATTGAAGTGCAGTGCTGTTCTCAAGCTATAATTTGTACCAAATGCACTTTTGTTAGTAAAACCAGTGTTTTTTGAAATTACATATATCTTCACCAATTACCTTTGGGTCATCACTGCCAAATCATTAATTAAGAATCTGCATAAAATGGTAGTGATTCTAAGTTCTCTGTTTCTGAGTTTACCAAGTTTTATTTTTTAATTAAATTGTTGAATAAAACTAGTTCATTGATACATTTGTCATCAGAATTCAGGAATACTTTCCAAAAAGGATGACTTTTCTCTCATTTATAGTTTTTAAACCCAAAATTTCACAACTCTCTTAGTTCATAGCGCTAATAGGATATTTTCAATGAAATAAAAAGGACTGTTTCTGTCTTTTCTAGGATAAAAGAGTGCATCATTTTAGAAGAAGTCGGGCAGTGCTTAAATCTGTTTGATCCTCTTTTCTAACTTTCTAGTCTCGTGGGAAGTTGCTGGTTTGAATACTAAGAAGAGACTGAAAGTTTTTCACTATTATAGAAATTTAATTCTGAGTATTGATAAATCACATTAAGACTATACAAGCTGTATTAGATTGCCTAGTTTTATTTTACATTGAAACTGTTTTTCATTAGATGTTTAGAAACTTGGTTCTGTGTTAAATACATAGTTGAAAGTAAAAAATAATTGAGACTGAAAGGAACAACTTTTAAGATTTATCTGTAAGGGTTTTTTTAAGAAGGAATTGAAATTGACATTTTAACAGTTTAAAAGTAAATGCTGATTTTCAAAAAATTGTCTTAGCCAACCTACTATTTTGAAAGGTCAGAATTTTGATAATTTGAATACAAGTGTTTCACTTCTCTAACAAGTACCTGTGAGTAGTACAGTATTTACAATTTTGTGCTTTACATTTATGATTTGTCTAGAAATTAACTGCAAAAGCATAGTTTTTAAAACTGCATTTTTAATCAGTGGAACTCATTATATAGTTAGCTTTATTGAAGTCTTCCTTATCTAAACCCAGTAAAACCAATTCTAAACAAACAGTCCAGTGCTCGCTTCGGCAGCTCATATACTAAAATTGGAACAAACAGTCCAATCAGTGGGTCTTATTAGTTGGAAATATTTTATCTTTTATCTTGAATCCACACAGATAACCATATTTGATTGGGATGATAATTAGATAACTAAAATTCTCGACCTATTTTTTTAAATAATCCAAGACAAACTAAACTTTACTAGGTACATAGGTTCTTGGTGAGTTACCATTCTCCTTTTTTTCTTTAAAATTTTTTTTCCCTTGAAATGCTAAACGTATCTTAAATTGTGCAAAATATTGGTAATAAAGAATGCTGAAGCTTTTTTATGTCACTTAAAGGTTAATCAGAGTATCTGAAAGGAATTGTTTTTATAAAAACATTTAAAGATTAGTTATTTGTTAAAAAGCAAACAGATTTTTATTTTTGTTTGTGAGCCTATTATATTACCTTTTTTAAAAAAGTAAAACATGTCCAAGAGAGTCAAAGTAGTCTTGGTGTTTCTGAATCACAAAAGTTGTTTAGTAAGCATATCCCAAGAATATACTCAGTGAAGAATCCATTTCTAGATTTACTAGTCTCCTCATTAGACATTATATATTGTGACAAACAACTAGAGCACCAAAGCCCTATTGCTGTACCCACAGTCTTGCTTTTCCAGTTTGTAACATCATTTTTCCAGAAGGTTTGCTCCTAGAACAGGTAATGTAAAGATGAGAAGTAGAAGTATGGGCAGTTTGAAGGCTAAGCCTTGGAAATGTAGCAATGTGGTAATACCTTTTTAAGGGAAACACTTGTCTCAGCATCATCTGATCTGCCATGAACATGAGTTTAAAATGGCTCTCTGGCCTTTCTTTCATTGGCCCCTTCACTAAAACATGAAGACTCCTTTTATCCCTAATCTAGTACAACAACCATGGGCCATATCATCAGTGCCCATTGCTATCTTATAATACCAAGTAATTTTTATTCTGAATCTGAAGGGGAAGAGTCTTTTAACTTATATATCCCACAAAAGGGCTTTCTACTCCTTATAATTTGAAAGTACCCTGAAATTTGTCCTTTTTAAAATTCTCTGTACTATCTTTTGTGTATGCTATGACATTCTTACATGTGTAATTCTGTGATTAAATCTCCAGGTTACTGTAAATGATATCTAAATTCTAAAGAGCCACTTACATGATTTGAAGTAAGGAAATAAACTTTTCATTTGTGTGCTGTTTTATTGGACTGAAGTACTTATTTTAAAAATGGTAAGGTAGAAAGAAGAGACAAAGTCCTGAACCTTTCAAAATGAAAAATTAATTTTAAACTTAAAAGTATGTTCCTATTACATATTGCTGATACTGTTTTTGCATAAATGAATAAATAGAAATAAACTTTTTTTCCAGAAACATTCTGGCTTATTTATTCATGTGACATTATTTCAATAAGTGGTGGGGATTTGGGTGGGTACTATGTGACAAGGTTTAGATTCTTGAAATTATATATTGTTCAATTTGTTAATCTGGCAGAATTAGTTTATAAAAGCAAATTTTTCTACATTGTATTTTATTGCTTTCTGTTATGAATTTAAGAGATAGGTATTCATGAGAAAATAATCCCTCCTAATGCCGAGTTGGAAATGGTTAACAGAGTTTCAACACAGTACATCAATAGTGCAGTACCAGTAGGAATGCTGAAGTGTCAATTATGACTATGCAGTCTCATGGCCAGAGTCCCTCATTTTGGACTATGAGCATTCATTCTGTCTACTGCACACTTTGGGCCTAATCTCTGTGGGCCCTTTAATTTTGGAGTATTAATAGTTACCAAAAATAGAGCTTAGATTTTTCATACTGCATTTACTTCAGATGAAAATGCACCCAAAAGATCATTATTTACCACCTCTTCTAGTTCTAGCTCCAGTACTCCCTGTTCTATAAGTTGAGGCCATAGGAGAGGAAATTTCCCCCACTGGGTACTCCTATGCTATATAAACATTTTAAGGCTCTAAAACTACATATATCTTAAAAAGTTTGTTTATACCTACTTGATATTTTAAACATTTGCAGTTAAGGTTTAGCACAAAATTCTCAACAGAAAACCAAGTCTTTGGGATTAAAAAATAAATTTCATACAGCACTTTGTTGTTTTTTGAAAATGTTGCAAGTTATGGCAAAATCAAGTGACTCCAAAAAGGTTGGTCATCCATGTAAGAAGAGTATTCTGCATAATTTTTTTCTTGCCTAAGAACATGTTATCCTTGTAATTGTTCAAAATAATTCAATATTGATTAGCATCCTTAAATTACTCGCTGACTTTCAAAAATAAATACTCCAAAGCATTGTAAAGCCCTCTACCCACGTCTCTAAAATTCTCTTGGTTGTCTTTAAAGGTAAACTCATGAAAATGGGCTGCCACATTGCTTAATTGCTTTGCCAGCTTTCATTGCCATCATTTGAGGATAATAAGGATCAGTAGCAATAAAACAGCCTGCTACTCTGCTTTTGCAAATATGGCAATAGCGAGGGTGGGAAACCATAAGGGGGAGAAAAGCGACAGTGTTTTCCATTGACCAAGTCTTTCAAATAGGCCCAGCTGCTGAGTATGATCATTTGGAATTCCTGAAACATGTCTCCTAAATGAGGATTGCTCCTGTACATGTTTTGATAATTGTGTAATGTGGCCCTTCCCAACATTATGTGTAATATGTCTGTGTGTAACTGAATCTTTTTGAGTAATTCCTTACCACCCATCATCAAAGACTGAATTTTCCATCTGTAGATGTACTTTTGGTACTAGAAAACAATAAACATAAGAAGTTCAAACTATAAACGTGCGTTTTTGAATGCTCATGCAAAATATTCAATCTGTATAGCAAAGAAATGATAGGTAATTCTGCATTGCATTTAGAGTTAAAAACATCTGTCCAATATGGTGGTAGCTGTGGGCCAAACCCAAGCAAATGCAAAAAAATTATCTCTTGATACAGAAGTTGAAACTACCACTGTACAGTTAAGCTCTATGTTAGCTATATTTTATGGTTTTAACTGGTCTGAAACAAAGTTTTCCACTTGAGTCTCTATTTTCCCAAGGCACATGGAGGTTTTGTATCTTATGTGCACCTCCATTAAGTCTGTGAGCCAGGAATCTCCTTTTTCCCACGTATCATTCCCAGATACCAGTTGCACTAAGTCTTCAACAATAGAACAAATGCTTGCATGACTGGGATATTGGGATTATAAATTTGCAACAAAGGCACATTTCATGCAGTTCAGAAAGTTGGAGATCTTATAATCCTAACAGTTTTTTTTTTCTTTTAGCATGAAAGAGTTTATTTCTCACCTTGTCTTCTAGCTTGCTGATGCGGTCCCTAACAGTTCTTTTTTTACAGAAAAGAAATCTAGCAAAAATACATTAAGACTATAATCACATCTATTGTGGTTCCCTAAAATAAAATGGATAGAGACATTATTCTGGCTCCATGGTTGGCAAACTGCAGCTCGCAAGCCACATGTGGCTTTTTGGCCCCTTGAGTGTGGCTCTTCCTAAACCTTAGGAATACCCTAATTAAGTTAATAACAATGTACCTACCTATATAGTTTAAGATTAAAAAATTTGGCTCTCAAAAGAAATTTCAATCGTACTGTTGATATTTGGCTCTGTTGACTAATGAGTTTGCCGACCACTGTTCTGGCTCAATCTTGGGTGAAACTATTTACTATAGAAGAAAGGTGGGGTTGACACTCAACTGATCTGTACACACAAATCAGCTATTTACAGTGGCCTGGTCCTCTCTGCCCTTGAACACTATAAAATTTTTAATATTTTCAGTCCCTATCCCCACCCCACAGAATAAATCTGACTGGCTTAGTGAGAATGGAGAGGGGTAACTAAAAATATAGAGCATTTTCTCTTTGCTTTAACTTAAGCTGATCCCCTACTTAGTGTTTGAGCTGCTTCATTCATAGTGTGAACAGTATTTAAACAATATACTTGCTAAATGAGAAAAGTTTAATTCTGCACTTTTTTTTTCTAAACATGGCTTGACTACTGCTTATCCTTGTTGGTTGTACCTGCCTTTGACAAAATAGAATCTCACTCACCACCCAAGGTTATATCCATGAGCAGATCAGCCCTGTATCTTTTGGGGCAAGTTTCCTCAATCATAACCAATCAAAGGGAAGTCAAAAAATATGAGAACCATCATGCTTTTCAGAGATTCAGAATTCTGGGCTCCATTCTCAGATGCTCTTATTCTGTAGGCCTAGGTTTAGTAATCTGCATTTTTACTAAGTCCTGCAGGGGATTCTGATCTCTGCAACACTCACTTAGAGGAATACTACCCCAGATGGCCATCTCTTAATATTCATCTCTGGCTACCCTTAGTTTTGGGATAGCTGGATTTGGAGAATAACCGTTAGGTCCATTTCATT